TGTCCTTGCACATATAGCTAAAGCAGTACTATGAGGGTTTTCATCGTGTTTAGAATAGATACTTGCTGTTTCAAATAATAGGAGTTAATCTAAGCAGTGACCTGAGTAAATGCATTATGTGGTCCTAACATTGCTTGGTTTGTTTTTGCTTGAATGTCCACTAAGGTTATGACGTAGCCTGAGTGCTGCCTCACCTGCTTTCTACTGTGATCCTAATCAGTAAGCTAATTTATCCTCTAAAAGCCATCCAGACATTTTCTGTTGTTGAGACAAGGTCTCACTATGCAGTTCAGACTCGCCATGAGCTCACTCATGATGATCCTCCTGCCTCAGTGTCCCAGTACTAGGATTACAGGCATGTACCGCCATACCCAGCCTAGGCATTCTCAATCATGTTTTTTGTCTGCTCCCCATGCTAACTATACAGTGTTGTGTTTGTTTTATTAATAATAAAAACAGTAATGCTTTTACAGAAAGATAGAAGTATCACTATAATCACTTAGATAACTTCTACTACATTTTAGATATACACTATTTGTTCAAAACTTTTTCTGGGACTGGGGATATAGCTCAGCAGTCTAAGTACCTGCCTGGCAAGTGCAAGGTCCTGAGTTTAATCCCTGGTACGGCAAAAAAAAGAAAAAAAAAAAATTCCTATACCTGCAACATTTGTATATGTAAGTGAGTAGGATAAGTCCATTCTGTATTTATATTCTTTAACCTTTTTAAAACTTTAATGGGCTATTTCTATATGTCTGTATCTTTTTGGTGTTTTGTTTTGTATGCCTTGTTGGCACACGTGTGCCTGTTTCATTCTTTTTTTATTAAAATCTTTTTATTGTACATATTTAAAGTTTAAAAACTCTTTAGGTAGATGCACTTTCTTGTGTTGGTTCAGTTTGATCTTTAGTTACCTTTTTCTGAGCTCTAATAGCTCATCCAATGTCCTGAAATGTACTGAAGCTCTTCACTGTGTACTGTTTTTCAGTTTTCTCCTCCCTCATGCCCATCGAGTTCTGGGGTTAAACCCGGGGCTGTAGCATGTGCCTCTGCCGCTTAGCTCCACTCTCAGCCTTGTGTGATTTTTAAACATCATTTGGTTAGAAAATGGTACCTTAATTTGCATTACTTCACTAGAGAACTTGAGTGTATTTTCACATGTGTATTGACCGTTTGTAATTAGGCATACTTTGGTGTGTGTTTCTTTGCAGTTGTTTGTCACCATCTTAATGTTCCAAAAGTACTTTTCATGTATCAGAATGTTCACTCTTACTATATTAAATGCATTGCAAGTACTTTCTGTAACTTATTTTTTATCGTTGTAATGTCATGTCTCACAAATATTTTAAAATCATTTTTCTAGAGCTGGCCAGATAGCTCAGCAGATTAAAGTTCCTGCTTAGGCAGATGGCAAGGACTAGGGTTCAGTCCCCAGCATCCCGGCCAGCCCCACTCTCGGGGCGAGTGAGACTGGGCGTGGTGGCACGCCCCTGTAATCCCAGCCCTTGGGACGCTGAAAACAAGGATCACTATGAGTCTGATCTGTGTAGTGAGACCCTGTAGACCCTGTACTAAATACATTTAAAAAATCATTTTTCTGCTTTGTTTGGCTTCTAAGTTTTATAACTGAAGAAGGTTTCACAGGCTGGGGAGATAGCTCAGTGGCATAAGCGCCTGCCTGGCAAACACAAGGTCCCAAGTTCCATCCCCAGTACTGCGGGGGAAAAAAAAAATGATGAAGAAGAAGGTTTCACTGGGCCTAGTGGTACACACCTGTCATCCCAGCACTTGAGAGGCTGAGGCAGGAGAGTCACTGTCAGTTTAAGGCCACTCTGCATGGTGAGACCTTAGCTCAGTAAATAACAAAAGGTTTCTTAAATCCAAAGAAACTGTTTCTATTCTTTTCTACTCAATAGAACTTAATCACAACTGTCTTGACATGTCAAAATATACATTAATCCCTTATCAATCCAGTTACTTAAAAAAAGATTTAAAAAATAGCATAATTGTTATTTTTATAAAATAAAAGGACATGTGAAAATGACAGTTTTATCAAATTTATTTATTAGAAGAATCAATTGGTTGAGGGTGGGACTATGGCTCAGTAGAATAAATGCTTTCCTGGCAAGCGCAAGGGCCTGAGTTCAGTCACCAGTTCCACAAAAAAAAAAATCAACTGGTTGAAATGACACCTGTGTAAGCAATGCTTAGGGTAGTATGTAAACAAACCTGCTGCCTGAGTGACACTCAGCGTGAGTTTAAGTGGTTAGTATCACTGTGTGTGTGTAGCATCTCACTACACAGATCACACTCATAATGATCCTCCTGTTTCCGGCCTCCCCAGCGCTGGGAATACAGGCATTAACACCACTTTTGCTGCTGTTCCAATTGCTTGGAGCTGTTAAAATTTATGTAACCTATTTCCTGTTAAACTGAAATTGTTGGGGGCCTTCCCCTTACTCAGTTCTTTAAGTAGCTGCTTTAACAAAGCTGTCAGGCTCAGGTTGCTGTGGTTCAATCCACAACTCAAGCCAGCCAACCCTGCCCTGAAGGCATTTGGAGCTAAAATAAAATAAACTGAAATTGCTGCAGCTACATGTCCCTCACATTCACATGTCTAGGATAAAATCAAAGTGCCCATTGCTAGATAAAAGTGCATACGTATATGGACCTGGATTTAGTGCCAGATTAACCCACAGAAAATTGTTTCAGTTCAACACCGCCAGCAGCATATGAGAACCCTGTTTCTTTTCTAATATCTAAGACTCTCGTGGATTTTATCTTTTGTTGTTTAATTAGTGTATAATTTTAACAGTACCATACTAAGCCCCCCCCCTTTTTTTTAATAGAAAACCTGGATTAACAGGACGTGGCATGTATGAGCTGAAACCAGAATGTGCCAAAGAGTTCAACTTGTATTTCTATCACTTCTCAAGGGCAGAGCAGTCCAAGGTAATTGGGAAAATTAAAGGCATAATGGGAAAGAACTGGATTTTTGTTTCACTTGGAAAATTTTCACTGCTTTTTAGACTGAAAAAGGCTTTTCTACATTCTTACAGAAAATTTGGAAGGGGCTGGGGAGATGGCTCAGTAGCATAAGCGCTTGCCTGGCAAGTGCAGGGGCCTGAGTTCAATCCCCAGTTCCGCCAAAAAAGAAAAGAAAATTTGGAAAATATTGAAATGATACAAATACAGAAGAAAGTATAAGTTCCTGCCTGACATCTTGGGGTTCCCCACCTAGTGCTTTGTGCATAGCTGTGTAAGAGCTATATAACTGTATATACCAGTACATGTATAATTCCATTTTGTTGGCTTGTGAAGAAAAATTTCAACCTGTATTCTAGGGAACTAGGCACTTGATCTTATGGATAAACATACAGAAAAGAGTTAAATAAAGACAAATACAACTATGGTGTGTGAGATCCAGGAAGATCAGAATTCTGTGTAGAATTCTAAGACACAGACTTTATGGCTTGCCCTTAGGAGGATGGAGTTTCTGCAGATTCAGAGGGGTGCAGAAAGAGAGACCAAAGCCACAAAAATGGGCAGGGTCTTCTTGCAAAATAGAACGAAGGCGATCGATTAGGTTAATTAAGAGAACTTAGATCTCTAAGATTGACAACTTTATTGCTGTGGAACAGCAAGTATCAGCAGCTGAGTCAGTGTCCTCATGTCCTTGCTACCTCAGCTGTGGTGTTGTTACCTTGACTTCAGAGCACCGTGACAGGAGCTTTTCCAACCCAACCAAAGGTCCCTTTTTGGCCAGCAATTTAACATTGCAGAGTCCCAACACCACAGTAACAGTTAACCCTTTTTTTCTTTTTTAATTTTTATTTATTTGATACAAGGTCTCGCTGTGCAGCTCAGACTGATAGTGATCCTCCTGTCTCAGCCTCCCCAGCTCTGGGATTATGGGCGTGCACCACCACACCCGGTTTTGTTGGCCAGCATGGAATGCCTGGGGTTCCAGGGCCTGCATGGCATACGATACCGGGAATCGAACTCAGGACCTTACACTTGCTGGGCAGGTGCTTATGCCACCGCAGACCAACCCATTTTATTTATTTACTTTTGGCTTTGGTTTGTACATGTTTGCTTTGCTTTCACCACTGAGCCACATCCCCAGCCCACAATATTCATGTTAATAAGTTGGAGATTTATTTTTCTGTATTTGCTTTTCTTTCTCTCTCTTTTTTGTTTTTTTTCTTTTTTTGTGGTACTAGGGATTGAACTCAGGGCCTTGCGCTTGCCAGGCAAGCAAGCGCTTATTCTACTGAGCTATCTCCCTAGCCATTCCTTTGCATTATAAAGCAACAAAGATCTCATTTGTGCAGTCTTTTAGTGCGTATAGAACTTAACCTTGATGTACATTGAGGACACGGGGGACTGCCACAACACTAAAGATAAATATCTCAAAAACTTGATAGTACAGAAGAGATTGACTTACATCACTATGTGAGGATATGAAATTGTTTCATAGTACAATTCCTGTCTAAATTACTTTTTTATTAGGCAGAAGAAGCTCAACGAAAATTGAGAAGACAAAATAAGGAAGATACAGGTATTTTAATATTCCTTCCAAAAATCTCATATCAGTCTCCTTACTTGCTAAACCTCGTTTCCTGTTAACTGTGATGTTAGGTTGGAGATGGAGCTTGGTGGTAGAGCTATCGCCTAGCACACTAGAGGCCCTGGGTTCAGTGCCCATCACTGTGACATTTTCTCTTAACTTGGTGGGATAAAAGATTTAAATCTAAGCTTTCTGGTTGAGCATTCTCCTAATGAAAGAAAAAATATGTTAATAAAAGACAGTCTGTACTAAGTCACTGTGGAGTTAGTGGTTTTATCTCAGAGCTCGAGACATTTCTAGGAAAGAGAAAGGCTTTCCTTTGTTCTATTACTATTTATACAGCTGTTTTTGTAGATTTACTGACCTTGAGAAGGTAGTGTATAGCTTTAAGATGTGCATTAATAATGTTCTTTGAATGATCATGAAAAGTATGTAATAAAGGAATAGTTTTTTTAAGCATGTCCTGCAAAAAAAAAAAAAAAAACCATAATGACTCTGCTTTCAGCACTTCCACCTCCAGTATTGCCTCCTTTCTGCCCTCTGTTTGCAAGTCTGGTCAACATTCTGCAGTCAGACATCATGCTGTGCATCATGGGCACAATCCTGCAGTGGGCTGTAGAACATAATGGGTATGCCTGGTCAGAGTCTATGCTGCAAAGGGTAGGTTTGACATTTCTTATTTATATTTTCAAAAAATCAAAATATTCCCAGCAATATCAGTGCACCAAAACATTACCTAATTTGTAATAAAATAATGTTGCTATCCTTTTTTATTCCAGGGCCAGGGGGGTAGCTCAGTGGCTTAAGCACCTGCCTGGCAAGCACAAGGTCCTGAGTTTGATTCCCGGTGCCCCCAAAAAGCATTTTTTCCCTAACAATGAAAATGTGTGCCTTGCAGATGTTTTGAGACCCCCATGGCTGTGTTCTC